TAGGAGTATCATAATCTTTAAAATTAAAACTATATTAAAAATATTATTAATTTAAAAAATATTAAAACTATTAAGCTCAAAAGCCACAAAAAATTACTGAAAAGTTGTGGATACGTATTACGAAAACAATGTTAACATTATAAACGCTGAACACATACTGACATTGTCATTTATGAATAAATTATTTCAGAAACAATGAAATTAATAAAAACCCAGCAGGGGGGAACACGGCACAGTGGTGACGTGGCATAGTTGGATCAAGTATTATGATATCTGACAGTGATTAAAATCACCATAAAAAAAAAACGCTTCGATGCAAATCTTTAGATAGTGTTTAATTTTAAAAAAATGGTGGATTATCCCAAAAGCAACATGATCTGCTTNTTTAAAAAAATTTGTGTATTATTCCAAAAGCTTCATAATCTGCTAGTTCCTTATTAATATTCTGATTCAGATAAAGTTTGTCGAATGAAAAAGGGATTATTAAAAAATATTATTTCTCATCAAAAAATTATGTTGATCCATACATTTTTCACACAAAAATAGCATTTGGTAGCCAATTTCACCCTGAAGATAAAATAAAGTAAGAAATTTTTTTTTTCCATAATAAAGTTCATTATATTAGCTTTAATTTAAGATATATATAAAAGTGTCAGACTTTCCGGAACACTTTCAAAATTTAAGTCGAAAAAGTTGTCATTTTGAATCCTCCTGTAGACAGGTAAAAAGTCAGATTTATAAAAAAAAATATACCAAATGATAGGTAAAAACATCATTCATCTACAAAAAAAAGAATTATATTGATCCATAAATCTTTCAAAAAGTTATAGCATTATAAAGTTAAAAATATAAAAAAGAATTTTTTTACAAAAATCGTATTTTTTTTATCAACTTTGACGTCTGTTTTTACCATGAAGATAAAATAAAGTCCGAAATTTTTTTTTAGCATAATAAATTATATTATATTAGCTTTAATTTAATATATATATATAAAAGTGTCAGACTTTCCAGAACACTTTCAAAAGTTAAGTTGAAAAAGTTCTACTTTCTACATGCATTTTTTAGATTTGAACGCCCCTCGTAAAGGGAAATGGTCCGATTTAAAAAAACAGTATGTCAAATGAAAGATGTATATAAATACTACTTATCATGAAAAAATTGTATTGATCCATACATTTTTCAAAAAGTTATAGCATAATAAAGTTAAAAATGTAAAATACAAAATCGAAAATTTTCACACAAAAATAGCATCCGGTAGCCATTTCCACCGTGAAGATAAAATAACGTCGAAAATTTTTTTTTTTCATAAAAAAGTAAATTACCGTAGCTTTAATTGAAAATATATATAAAAGTGTCAGACTCTCCGGAACATTTTCAAAAGTCATGTTGAAAAAATTAATTTTTTGTGAAAAAGTTGTCATTTTAAATCCCCCCTGTGGGCAGGTCTAGGGTCAGATTTATAAAAAAAATATACTAAATAAAAAGTAATGATATAATGCATCTATATAAAAAAAAATTAAATTGATTTAGTTATTTTTAAAAAAGTTGTAGCAATTTTAAGTAAAAAAACTTTAAAAAATTTCGAAAATTAGCGATTTTTAAATTTGTAATATTTTGGAGGTTTCCCCCATTTACGGGGNTAATAAGCAGAAGCTCTCATGATTATTATTAAAATAAAGTTTTTTATTGAAATAACTTAACTTGTACTCATTTTTAAAATATGTATTACTAAAATACATAACAACAACTTAATTAAATTAATTTAACTTTTTAACGAATTATTGCCCAGCTTTGTTCATTTACATATTACATTGTATTATTCAATATTTTCAATGATTCAATAACTTAATTGATAAATATTTATATTCAAGCATATTATTTAAAAAAACTATGAAAATATATCTTTTTTTACTCACCTTAATCCCAACTACTTGGTGTCAGCCACTCTTATCATAAATTTCCCCTTGACACGATCTCCCACATCTTTTACGCTAAAATTATCGCTCTGTATAAATTCGAATACTTCCAAAAAATAGGGATGTAAAATAAATTAATTTTAATTTGTGTAACAAGTGTAGTTTACTGTGGTCATTGTCATAAAACATATACATATTTACTTGGCTCATTAAGTATTTGTAGATGAACTTTACGTTTTAATTTTTGATTAACCTTTTTATGTCTTTTTAATAATGTTACGAATTCATCTATAATTTCAGTACAAAATGTGTTATTATTATTGAGTATATCTCTACATTCTTCTATATCTTTGAGAGATAAATNATTATTGAGTATACCTCTACATTCTTCTATATCTTCGAGAGATAAATACTAAAAAAAAATGTATAAAACAAAAATAATTTTAATATAACTGTGTAATAATAATACAATATAGACTTTATTTAAAAAAAAAGTCTTAAGGTTCCATAATTTTTCTCACATCAACTGTTCTCATATCGCATTCAATAACATCTCTCCGTCTCTTTTTTGGTCTTCCTATACCTTTTCTTCCTTCAACATTCATTCTACAACTGTTTTTACGGCTTCCGATTTTTCTCTCCTCATAACATGACCAAATCATCTAAGTCTATTTTCTCTCATCTTATTCACGATTGTCATTCTCATCTCTGCTCTACTTTCTTATAAACCGCCCAACACTCTGAACCATACATCATAGCTGGTCTCACTATAGTATTGTAGAGTTTACCTTTCAGCCTCATTGGAGTTATTTTATCGTATAAGACACCAGACGCTTCTTTCCACTTTAACCACCCACACTTAATCCTGTGTCTTATATCCTCGTCAATACCACCGCTCTTTTGCACAACTGATCCTAAATACTTTAATCTTTCCACCTCTCCAATCACGTCCTCGCTATTGTCACTGACCTCCTTATTTAACCTACTTCGTGTTCTCCTTTATCAAACTTGTACTCTATATATTCTGTCTTACTCCTACTTATTCTTAAACCCTTTTCTTATCATCTGCTCCTTCAGTGACACTGACTCTCTCCAGGGTCCATTTTAGAAAAGGTACATTGTCTCCTCGGATAACCACGACCAATATATCCATGGTTGTAGTCGAGGACCAGAAGACGACATTCACTTGTATCGCTCTTGCAACTGTTGATGGTAATCTCGTGATCATACTACCCATAACTGCTGTGACAACTGCACCACTTTTCTCTACTTCGTAAGTCGGTTTGGTGTTGTAGCGGTTTCATCACGCTCTGGCTATGAATTTAAAGAGTCGCCAATGAGAAAATGTCCTGGCGTGAGAACAGTCATGTCATAAGTTTTAAATGTTCGTTAACAAATACTAATGTCGTGTATTCACTCTTAGCCGCCAATATAACTGGATGACGCTATAAAGGACTCAAATGAACCGCTTTTCGTAAACGACCGCCCACCCTGTGGACGCCCTTCTTATCTAAGAGCGGATTTAATTTAATTTTATTGTACGTAGTTTTTGAATACTTTGTATTTCTTCACCAAAGTAACACTTTTGAATAACTTTTATTATGCATATATTCGCCTTATCAATTTCACCAATCTGCACAAGTCCGTACTGATACTATACTTTACGTATTTTAGCCAACGCATTATTCACAAACCGATAACAATATGCTAAAACGCGTTGCAATTTTGTTAGTGACGAATATTGAAATTGACAAGTTATGATTAACCGCCGACACCAAAACTTGCGTTGTTGCGCGCTCTGCTGTCGATATTTCTATTCGACGATCTTCGTCAAAAGTTGACCTGGGCCACTCAGAACTTTTCTAAACTAACCAACTGGGTCCCCTCTAACACATTGTTAAATTCTTTAATTGAAGTGGGTAAATGCCACGTGAGACCACATCCGCCGGGTTGTCAGTAATACGTACGTGATGCCATTATGCAATAGATGTGAGCTCGTGTATTTTTCCTACTCTGTGGGCCACAAACGTTTTCCACCAAGCTGACGGCGATTTTATCCATGAAAGTACCACTGTAGAATCGGACTTATAAAAATAACTAGAAATATTTAATCGTAAACTGCGCCCATACTTATTTGCTAACCGTGCTAATAATACGGTTGCTAACAGTTCGAGTCACTGCAGTGACACAGTTTTGAGCGGGGCGACGCGAGACTTAGAACAAATTAAATTTACAACATACTGACTATAGTTTTGTATAACACGTAAGTACAAACATGCACCGTACGCCGTAAGTGACGCTTTCGCAAACCAGTGTACCACAATCTCGCTTATACTGTCGTCACCGACTACTCGCCTTTGTATTATAATGTGTTTATTACACATAATTTTTCACGGCTTTCTTTCCACTCGCGTTCTATATTTTTGAGTACCTTATTATCGCATCCGATATTTAATTGCCATAACTTTTGAATTAAAATTTTAAATATGATGACTACTGAATTTATTAGTCCTAACGGATCGAAAATTACCGCTATTTTAGCCAGAATAGAACGCTTTGCAATTAAAACATCTTTATTGTATTTTTTTATCATGTACTGATATGAATCATTGTTTTTGTTCCAGTACATACCTAATATTTTAGTTACTATATTTTGTGGTACTGTATTACTATCATGTTGATATCCAGAATGCTTTAAACTAGTTAGTAATATACCAGATTCGTTGCTATCCCACTTACTCAATACAAAGCCAGCTTTACCCAAAACGGTAATTAGATCGTCACGTAGTTGACATACTTCTCTCTTCGTGTTCACTCCTCCTAAAAAAACATTAACATAAAAATCTTAACATATTGATTGACAGGCTTCAGGATACTGTTCCATCTCTTTAGCGACCAGCTTCTCCAAACAAGCCACCGCTAAGTACGAAGAGGTTATCACTCCATAGGTAATAGTCTTGAGGCAAAGAATATTAATAGGCTGGCTAGGATCTCCTCGCCATAATATTCTTTGATAATCACATTGCGATTTCGATACCCACACTTGCCGGTACATTTTTTTTTTAATGTACGCCGCCAGGACATATTTATGAGTACGGAATCTCGCCATTATAGTAACTAACTCTTCTTGAATACCAGGGCCTTTCAGTAGTACCTCGTTTAAACTCACCTCTGTGTCTGTTTTCGCAGTTGCGTCGAACACCACTCGCAACCGCGTACTCGTACTGTGCTCATTAATTACCGCATGGTGAGGCATGTAATAACAACGCTCTTTTTCTATCGACGATCGCGCTTTTTCTGCATGCCCTAGCATGATATATTCGTCAATAAATTTTTTGTACGACACTTTAAACTGAGGGTCAGCCTGAAGTCGCCTTTCTAAAGATAAAAGTCGACGCAAGGCCATGTGATATGATTTACCCAGCATAGATGGGTCTTTAAATGGTAGTACAATTGTAAATCTGCTATTCGTTGAGCAACGAACATTTAATTTATAATGTTTCATACACATTTTCTTCTGTAATGAATAAAGAGCTTTAGCATGAACCTCTTCCAGTTTCCAAAACTGTGCCATTTGGTCTTCAAGCTCACTAATTTTTGCCAGTTTGGTTGTCGTTACCGCCGACATACAGCGCTCTTGCTTGTCTAACGCAGTTGCTGGAACCGGATCGGCGATCACCCATCTGAGATGGGTGTTTTGTAACACCGGGCCGCTATCCATTGGTTTAATTTGACAATGTTTAATCAAATTAAAGAATATTTCGGCGCCCAAAACNTTAATCAAATTAAAGAATATTTCGGCGTCCAAAATTGAATCAGTGCAATTTGGACTATTAAATGACGGATCAGCAAGTATTGTTTCCTTAGGTATATTTAATAAAGAAGTGCTGATCGATCTAGCTGGCAAATTACTTGTTAATTTATGTAAAATAAAAAAATCCAATAAGAGCGAGTATTTAGATACACGTGATTCTACAGTAGTCGAAATTATATGTGACGACGTATGCGAAGCGGTAATAATGCTTTCGATAACGCATAACGTTTTTCGGCGCTTTAATCTCAAAGAGTGCGCTACTGACTCAGTCATAAAATTATGTTGTGAGCAACTATCTAATAATGCACAACACAAAAGAGGCCTACGCTGATAATCATAAATTATTACTGTAGCAGTTGATAAAAGAATCTATGTATTGACCTGACGCGTGCGTGTATGAAACAAAGACGAGGTTGACGGTGTATTATTGTTTACATTTTTTTCCATTTGACGTTCACTTTGATCACCTGGGGATGAGCGCAATACGGGCACGTCATTAACTTGCTTATTTTCCCACGGAATATGTAATATTACGATTACGAACATTTAGGACACCACCGTTGTGTACATCGTTCGCCTGCATGCACTCGTAAACAAATTTTACAGAGATTTAAATCAGTTATTTTTTTAATTCTCTCTCTCACACTTAGACTTAAAAGTGTCGGACATTTATACACCGTATGCACTTGTTTACAAACAAAACATTTTAGTTCGCTCGTAACTGCAAATCCGTTAGACCTAACAAATTCATTTCTTGCTATAGGCTGTTTGAACTCTTTTTCCTGTTTTCCCATTTTAACAGCCTCTAAAATTCGAAAACGAGATTCCAAAAACTTTAAAAGAGTCTGTACTTCTGGTTCTTCTTTTTCCGTGGAAAAAACTTCCCATTTCCGCACTGTAGTTGAGTCTAGTTTCGATAAAATTAAATGTATTAAAATGGCTCCTCAGTGCTGGGGCATTTGACCTAATGTTTCTAACGCATTTATATGATTGACAATTGTGTCAGATAACCCACGTAACGCAGAACCCGATTCTCTTTTTAGTGGCTCCAAATCAAACAGAGAGCGCACGTGAACTTGAATTAGCACTTAACGGTTGTTATAGCGCTCCGTTAGCCTACTCCATGCTACTTTATATTGCGCCACAGTGGTTTTCAAACTATGTATTACCTTGGCCGCCTCTCCAGTTAGAAATGATCGCAGGTAAAAAACCGCTGTATGTCCAATAAGGCCGCGTTTTCATGCACAATTGCTTTGAATATTCTTTCAAACGCGGACCACTCGGTATACGAACCAGAAAACTGTGGTATAGAAATTGGTGCTCATTTTATCGCTGTTTCAATTAGCCCTACTAGTAATGCAGCCTTTCAATTTCACTCTCTGCGAGATAAGACTCGCTAATTCAGCCATTGTATTTTTACACGCTAATAATACGGCCGAAACAGAATTGCCTGTTAGCCTATTATTTCTTCTACACTATTGCTCTCTTTGTTCCAATATAATTTACAATACCAACAAAGGTGTTTTGTACAAAATGGATTTTACGCACGAGTATTTTTAGGCAATTAAATTAAAACAACTGTATTCAAAATATGCACATTTAAATGAATATACTAATATTTTACCTTAATTAGTATTGCTTAATCCCTTTTTTTTCAAGTAATTCAAGTTGAAAATTTATACGCACAATAGAGTTGAACGCATGAGTTCAAACCCAAAATTCGACTTAATACTTTTAAGTCAAGATCGCTCTTTACTACGAGGTTGGCATTTACTAGAATAACGCACTACCCAAAATAAATAATTTTATTCATTCAATTTGGCCCAAAGGACCAATGTTTTGCGGGTTTACTTAGTGAAATAATCAACACCGTAATTATTTTTAAGAAAACTGTATTGATGAAACTTACATTATAATTGGACACTTGCGCGTATGTTACATATTATCTGGGCCGGGTGTAAACCGAAACTACTACTATATTACAATCATAAAGCTTATCACTACTCAATACACAACACCTACCTCGTGTTTCCTTTGTCAAATCATACTCTATATACTCTATAATTTATAGCTGATCTCCACACCTCTAGACTTTGATTAATTTCCTCCCTATTTTCTCCTATTAACACTATATCTTCAGCAAACAACATGCACCACTGCAACTCTTATTCCCTATCCACAGGGAAAAATCTACAATTAGATTTTTTCGATCGCCTCCTTTTTGAGATGATTAAAATTAGTAGAAATTAGTAGAAATTAATAGATTTTATTATTTATATTTTTTATGGGAAAAATTTCATGCGAAACTGAGATTATATTAATTTGTGTTTATTATTATTATTTTTTTGTTCTATTAATAGTTGAAAAAAGTAGCGGAAAACACAAAAGCAGTAAAATAGTAAACTGTAAAATCAATATCTTCTCAACTTTGTGTAGGAGTTAAAATAAATTCAATATTTTTTGTCATTTATGAATGTATGATTGCGTGAACAAGAAATTAGTAAAATTAAAAAAATGTTTAAATTACATTAAAGAAATATTATGTAAACGGTGCATAGTTGATATAACAAAAGAATTTTTTATTTATTATTATCTATGAAATTTCGGTTACACCTTAAACAATACAAGGTATAATTAAAATAAATTATAATCACCTGATAAGTATTCATTAGTTCTCTGTCAGAAGAATTCTGAAAAAAAAATTTATAAAGCAAAAATAAATGTATTATTT